TGCGATACTTGGCAGACGATGCACGCTCCGGAGACGATCCAATCCGATCTAGCGCGATTCGGACATTCGGCTTCCATTTTCAAGGGATCTCTTTACATCTATGGAGGTTTCGATGGTCAGATGCTTTCGGACATCCTCAAGTACACACCAGGTACTTGCGATCATCTGAGAGCGCATAACGTCTGCTTGAACACCAGACCCGGAGTGAAGTGCGTTTGGGACCACAAGAATGGAAGGTGCATCAACATTAAAGATGTGCCGAGGACTCAACTCAGTAGTGCCGATTCCGTCATCCTACATTGTCCGGAAATGAAATTTACCTACATTGGTCACAAGTTCTTCGAGGATATGGAGTTTTGCAGCGTGATCGAGGATTGCGCCACCTGCGTTTCCACAACCAGAAAATGTGTTTGGTGCAAGACGGGTCAGTTATAAAATCAATTCATCAAAATGTTAAATTAAATTTTCATTGTATTTTAGTGTGCGCCTATGATTCGTGCAAGGATTCCAAGAACCTCCCTATTTTCTCTTTGGACCAATGCCCGTTGGATGTGGGACCGATGTGCGATAAGTTGCATACGTGTAAAGCATGCAGGGCTCAAACTTACTATTGTAAGTATCCGAAGTTAGTTGATAATTATTAATCAATTTATTAATTAATAATGTTTACTCAGGTAAATGGTCTTATCAAAGCGCTAAATGCTCGACGTATACTCCGCGGACTACCAGAAACAATCAGACCCAGACCAATGTGATGGTTATAGACCACGGACAGCAGTGTCCTCGAGTCTGCTCCGAGTACAGATCTTGTCAGGACTGCACCCAGGAAACGTGTATTTGGTGTCAGAGCGAGCGCCGTTGCGTGGACAATAACGCCTACATCTCGAGCTTCCCGTACGGCCTTTGCCGAGAGTGGACGACGGTCAGCACCAAGTGCCGAAGCAACGGTAACGAGGAGAAATCACAGTGCAGTTTCTACTTAACCTGCGCCCAGTGTCGAGAAGACCCAGCCTGCGGATGGTGCGACGATGGGAGTAGTACAGGACTGGGAAAGTGCATGCCCGGTGGATACGCTGGTCAGACCCTGCACACGCAATCTTTGTCATCCAGCACGTGCCCTTCGGAGAGGTGGCATTTCACCAATTGCCCTCTCTGCCAGTGCAACGGATACGCCAGATGCCGTGGAAACACTAGCGAATGCCTTCCGTGTCGTGGGTTCAGGTGGGGGACGCACTGCGAACGCTGCGTCCAAGGGTATTGGGGTTCGGACGGAGGACAATGTCAGCCGTGCAAGTGCAACGGACAAGCAACCCAATGCCATCCGGAGAGCGGTAGGTGCTACTGCACCACCAAAGGTTTGGTCGGAAATCACTGCCAGAAGTGCGACGCAGTGAATCACTTCTACGAAGATCCCATAAACAAAGGATTCTGCTACTGTAAGTATTCATTCATAGAAATCTCTGAAAGTGAACGCACGGTTCAATCTAAATAAATTGTGCATTTACAGATGATCTCACAATCGATTACCAGTTCACGTTCAATCTGTCCAAGAAGGAGGACCGTCACTACACGCAGATCAATTTCCGGAATTCGCCAACGAAGCCGGACATTGACGCTGACTTTGCCATCAACTGTTCGGTTCCCGCCAAAATGAACATCACCGTGAAGAGGGACAATTCGAAGGACGAGAAGCCCATCTACACCGGTCACAACTGCTCATCCTTCAGATCGCGCTTCACCAAGTCCGAATACAACTTTGGCACCGAGGACAACGTCACCCCGACCACCTTCTACGTCTACGTGTACGACTTCCAGCCGCCACTCTGGATACAGATTTCGTTCTCGCAATCCCAAGCTCAATCTGCAGCAGTTCTTCACCCCATTCACCTATGGTACTGTCTTCTATTTTTGTACTATCATTTTGCAATTATCCCAATTTGAAACACGATATCAGGAGACTAAAGACGTTGTGTGGTGGCGTGCCCTTGGAAATCGAGTGGCACTGAGTGGCACCTCCAAGACGTTCGAGCATCCGAACCAAATTTATGAGCTTTATGATGTGAGCTTGCGCATAAGAGAAATCGCTAAGTCGCTAGTTAATGAATTCGCCACTTTTATAACAACGCCAGTCTGACTAAAATACACCAAATTGTTTTTATGTTATTAAAAAAAAACCTAACCGAAACTTGACCTAGACCACTTGATATGAAAATGCCCATATAACAAAATTGTTTGTATATATTTTTAAATATAAAACCTTAGGGCAACTTCACCTAACCTAACATTTTCTCAGACCTAGGGCACTAGAGTGGATAAGGAAATAAATACGTCTATAAATTATTGAGATGTATTTCTAAAATAAAACCAAAATCAATACAGGCAAACCAAAAAGAAATGTAATTTATTGTTGTACAGAAAAATAAATGATAATAAATATAGGTTATGCATTTATTACATTGAGATATCGCGAATCAAACTGGGATAACTGCTAAATGATTTATCAGATTGAGATATCGTTTTTCAAACTAGGATAATTTCAAAAATTGAACACTGTACCACAGATCACCAACGTTTCAGAAACAATGGCGTCGAAAATAGTCATCGCCGTTCTCGAAAGTAAACAAAACTATAGCGCTGCGCTTGCCCCCACTCTCATAAATTAAAATCAAAGATTGGAGAACTGACTCGCTTTTAGTCGTGCAGATGGAACCTTACACCAAAACAAAGCAACATAACCTTAATATGCACTGTTATCCTACTAATTTAACAATACTCACTTATTAATAAACTAATCACTATTAATACAAGACTTAAAAGAGACTAATATGTTTAATAATAATAATTAAACTTATTTGCATCAATAAAAGTTATTTGAAAGGATAAAGTAAATATAGGCAACATTTATGCAAAAGTTAGTTATTGTTTAAAATTTCAAATTATTTAGGGCCAATATTTGCTGGTATATGTGGCGCCGCGCTTGGTGCTGCCTATGTACTAAGGATGTACGCTGCCTATGTACGCCACTGCAGTGCGTGCAGTTTCTCATATGATTTGGTCCCCCTGCTTGTGTGATTGATTGATCAGCTCTGCAATTCGCCTCATTTTGAAACCATTGACAGTGTTGGAGTTCATCTCTGCTGTGTTTGTGACCATTTCATGGAACTGCCTTTGATCCAACTCATTGGTAACCATAGCAGCGCCCTGTTTTCCCAAAGTGTAGCACTTGAGATGATTGTAGGCAAGCTCAAACTGTTGCAGTATGAATCTACAAGCAAAAATAATGATGAAAAGAACTATGTTTCATTTTACAAAAATTAAAGCATACTCTGCTGTGGTGGATTGGTGACCAAGGAGGAATCCTTGTATGAAGACTAGATTGCTGTAGAGATGCTTCGGTTTCGCCGCTATTATCACCTTGATGATCACAGGCACCACATCGACGTTGTTGAGACAAGGGATCCAATGAGCGTCATCCTCAAAGGTTTCGATGAGGGCCATCTTAAGCTCGGCGTAGATCAGATCATAGCATGAGCATAAACATTGCATTTTCTCTTGAGGTGTTCTTCTTCCATCTAAGCTAGCCAATTCAACAATCTGGAATTAAATAATAATGTATGCTAAAACAATTAGATATTATTCAGGCTCTCACTGATGCTGGTACTGGGATGTCCAAATGTTTGCAAGCCCTTGGCAACTCCAAACTGAGATCCCTCCGATTAAAAGCCTTGCAAATTTCAAACACCTTTGCATCTTCTACATTGTAGATGGAATATAAACCACTCATGATTTTGTCATGCAATCTATGTATAATGAAACTTCAAATAAAATTTTAGAAATTTAAACTATAATTAATTGATTTATATACCATTCCATTACATCAAGTCCATCATCAAGCATCAGATCCTTGGCTTCCTTCACCATCAGTTTTGCATCGTGTATTGAAACTGGAGTGGACTTGTGGTCAAGAGCATAATCAATTTGTATGGTGAGTTCAGGGTAATTGATCAGCAGAAACTCCAGAGCCCTGAAATTAAAAAAAAATAAATTAATAAAATCCGGTTTAATTTGCGAATTTAACTAACGGACTCTTCATAGGAGCACATCTCGCCGTCGTCCATTTTATTGTGTAATCTTATCACAAAACAATATCTATTTTAATGTAAATCGTACGATGACGCGATTTGTTTGTATGCTGAAAACCATGGTAACAGATAAACAAAACAAAAATGGACTGGAAGGATACTCTGGCGCAAAGGATTTTTCCTGGAGTGGATTACAGGAAAATAAACGGTGAGAAATACAAAACGAATTTATATAGTAAATTATTTTCTTGATTGTTTTTGTAGAGAATGAGGTGATGTCAAATTTGCCCCTGCAAATGGGGCTCTATTTCAACGTAATATTCGTTCCTGTTTGGCTAATCGTCATGTCAGTGCTATTCTATGATAAGGTAACTTTGGAAATAGCTCCAAAACATAAATTTATATACATTAAAAAGAAAAATCAGTTCCACTGTTACAGCGATTTTGTTAAATTTGTCATGACCACTGTTTGTTTATTGACTGTCGTCATAGAGGTAATGCGTCTGCACTTGGGCTTTGAGGGAAATCTGCGTGACAAGGTGAGAACTGTATTTGTTAAATGCTATTTACAATTTTCTAAGTGTTAAATGGATGCAGATCCCTGAGCTAGCCGGATTCTGGTTACTTTCCGCGCTGTTGCAGTTACCGCTTCAGTTGTTCCTGTTGCTGAATCCTCACCTGCAGCTGAGAGCTGTGGAGAAGGT